TAACCAGGGTTATTTTCTTTCTCCTTCATTAGGCAGTAAAAGAGTTGGCATAACCTATGCCGCTTTTTATGTAATCAAGAAAAAACACTAAAATTACAGTTACTCAAATGAAAAGCAAGCATTCATTCATCCCTAATCAAAGCAGAAAGATCGGTCAAGTTGAATAATACCAAGTAGGATAATCTTTGTATTGGCCTATTAACTATATGTGGCTAAAAAACCCAACAGGCATGCTGACCAATATCACATGTATCAATAATACGACTGTGATTAAAACAAAAGTTAATGCACACATAGTGAAAAAATTAGTAAAACAGCTTATGTTTTGTAAACTTATTTTGGGACAAATTTGCAACCGTGATTCCAGCTTTTACTGAGTACATTAAGACAGCTGTCACAAGGGCCTATTCCCTTTGGCCAAAATGCCTTTTAAAAAAGCATGTTATGATTTGATAATATAAAACTACGTGCATAAGCACATACGTACGTCTCGGCGTGCACACACACATATGTTATAATATATACACATATACACACACAGAGTATACATATGGTGATACATGCTGTAAAATATTACCAGCATCAGAGCGATGTCCTACCACTGTTCCCAGCTAAAATCATCTCCTCTACCAAACACAAGAAAAAAGCCTAAAATAGTAAGGAAAATGACTGCATTGCCAGCCAGCACCAGACCACAGGCTCCCCATTTGATCTGAAATGCAAGGAAATTAAACAATCACAAAAGCAGTTCTTATAAGATAGGTTCAGGCCAGTTATTTATACACATTAGATAAACTAAACAATATACTACAGAAAGGTGCTAAAAGCATAAAGGAAAAAGACAAACAATAATTCAATTTATGTGACTAATTATTTAATTAGCAACCACTCATATTACTAATACAGCACTTCAACAAGACAAGCTAATAATGCTATGTTTTAGAACAAGCTAATTACCTTGCCATAGAAGTCACTAAAATATACCTAAGTCACAGAAAAAAAATGGTGAAACTAATGCTCTCCTTTAATTGCTATGCAACAACAACAAAAAAATTTGGCCTTTCAAATAAATGCCAGTAACAAGCATGGAAAACAGTATGTGGTCTTAAAGGCAAAAAGCTCTCTTTAGCTATCTGCCCGACTAAATTTACTCAAATAAGTGACAGTTTAAAAGATATAGCTATGAATGAGACTCCCCCCTCGTGGTCACTTCTGGTTCTGCCTATTGTCAGGTCCACAACTTAAAAACAAAAATGCAGTGTCAGGGAAATTGTGCATTACAAATTATAACTAAGCACACAAGTTTTAAGCAAAACTGAAAAACTGAAGGGGAAAAACAATGCAACACAAAAATGTCATAGGGTAGACAGGACAAAAGGGTCCTTTGCCTTGCAAAACAAACGTGACAAAATCTCACCACTGAAGAGCAGTTCAGAAAGCAAAGAGAAAAGCAGCTAGCAGAATTTCCTCAGACTGTGAGGGGTAAAGCACAAGCTTGGGAAATGCTTTGAAAACCAGAAGGGCAGCTCTGGAAGTTTGGCCTTTTATCTTTTAACTGATAATGCACTCCAGTCACCAAGTTTTCAGCATCCTATATGGAGAAAGCAGACATTCCGAGATAAAAATAAGGAAGGTGGTGCAAGAAGCAGTGCAAAAGTTGATGAGACACAGAGGCATGAGATGTAGGAGGAGATATCATCTTGTGCTGGAACAAAACAAATCTGGAAAAAAAAAACAGCTAAAAACTTTTCACTAATGCAAGTCCTTTGTTCAGGCCAAAAAAGCAGCACTGACAGATAAAATTTCAGCAGAATGATTATTTTCATCAGGATCTACAAATGTCACAGCAATGAAATTAAAGATGGGATTTACAAGCAGCAACAGTACACTTAATTATACTCAGTAACTGGTATATTACAATAAAAATTCGCAAGCAGAACTTACCGCTTCAACCCGTGCAAGGATTATAGGAAATCCAAAGGCAGAAACAACAATTCCAGTTGTGAAGAAATATGCCAATTCCCTGCAGGCACTGCTGGCTGCATCACTGTCATCACTTACTCTTTTTGCAATGAAGTGGGGAATGGGGCAGATGAAGTAAAATATTAAGACAAACAAAGGCCAGTATACACTGGGGAAAGGGGAGAAAAGGAAATACGCAATCAGTTTAGGTGGGTGCTTCAGGAAAAAGTATCTTCTGTTTAGAAGAAGTAATTGCAATAGCTGTAATCCTACCTTATGTTTTGAGAAGTGGATTACAGGATTTAACCACAAGCTTTCACCCAAAGGGGCAATCCCACCTCGTTTTACCCTGCGTACTGGCACAAGCACTCATACAGCCTCGCGTAAAGCAAGATCCACTCTCTCACACAACCAAACCTTAATTCATTTAAATTTGCATCACCTTACTGATTCAACTCATACCACCATCTCACAAAAACGACCGTCGCCACGCAGGGAACAGGAAACGCATGCAAGCAGGATGGGAACCAAGAACTTTGCCAAATTAGAGGGATCCTGGAGTATAAACAAGCTGGTGGCGAAGGCACACCCTTGCACGCTCAGCTCTGGGCGAGAGCTTTCATTAGCTTCACCCGGATTTTTAAGTGTGATAGACAACCTGGGTGGAGTCTTGTGGTAGGAGGGTTGTTTAAAGAAACAGGGAAGTAAGGGAAAAGAATTGTGCGAGGTTAAAAATGACTGTTTAGCAAGATGGCACCGCTTTTCCTGAGGAAGCGTATTCAGTCTTTTTTTAAGGGAAATGCAAGTACTGGCTAAGAAGGCAGTATTTAATCACAACAAACTACCATGTGCCAAGAGCCAGAAAGCTGGCGACTCCTGGAAGACAACTAAAGCCAAACAGCTCGATTAAATACGATTAACACCTCAATTAACAGGTATTAAGAAGGGGAAGTTTTGGAAAGAAAGGCAGCCCGCTCACCCGTAGTACTCCAGGGCGCAGCCCAGCATGAGAAACGTCAGGCCGATGGCTCCGCTGAAGGACAGCGCCACGAGAGCTGCAACGGCACAAGGCAGGTGGTGAGGTGGTTGCCGCCTCACCGGTTACCGGTTATCCCTCCCCGCGACTCCCGCCCCCGCTGACGCGATGCCCGGGAAGTGGAAGCGCAAGCCGGTCGCTCTGCTCTCTCAGAAGGTGACGGCCTTGGCCAAACGGCAGCGCCGAGCAACGCTCGGTACCTTTGATGCCCGCCATGTTCGGCGCTCTGACCGACGGCGAGCTGAGGTGGCGGCGAGCGACTTCCGCCTACAGGCCGCTTTACCCCGCCTCCTCCTGCATCACGTGAGCGGCCGCTTTAAAGGGCCCGCGTCACCTAACGAGGTGATTCCCGTGAACGGGAGCGCTGCGCCCTTTAAGGCGCAGGCGGCGTCTCGCTGTGGGGAAGCGCTTGGGCCGGGAGCCTCGCGTCGCCATGGTTACGGGGCGGTGTTTCGCTGCCTCCAGCCAGGCCTTGGGGCCAGTGTTTAACGCATATACCCCAAAGAGACACATCTATGTATGTGTAAGGTGTATATACGTGTAAACAGATGTATATACGTGTGATGCACGGGCACGATTTAAATACATAAACACAGTTTTAAAGGTGCCGCCCCCCCATCAGTCACTGCCATTTTGGAGGCTGCTCCTTGAAACCCAAGTGTTCACCCCCAAAAATGGGCCCAGCCACCTGCTCATTTCATATGGTGCCTTCTCAGGCTCTGGATCATCCACCCTTGACAGGGCCCTACACTTCTGCTAATCTGCACCAAGAAGGACACATCTTTATTTTAGTGCAGTATTTTGCAAGCTTTCGTTTTTTGGATGCCATTTTTGACCCAAGAACGGCCTTTTTGAGGGAGATTTTGCACAGCCATGTGGATACACCTCCCGAGGGAGATTTTCTTTAGGTATCTCCCACCTTTGCCGCTCAGCTCTTCTTCTCGTTTCAGGGCTTCTGTGATACAGATTTTTTTTTCCCAATTTCCTTATTAATTGTACATAATTTAGAGCGAAGAAGGCTGCCTAATTAAATCAGCAGGCTTAAGTAGCTGAATGCTTCAAGGGAAAATTTTGTTAGGTGCTATGTTTGCTGACTTGCTTGGCCGTGGGTCTCTGAAGCGTAGTAGCATAAGAATAGGAAGTGTCAAATTGTCTCCAAAATGTCTTAATTTGGGAAACACACCTGGAATGCCAACCTGTGAACTACCACATGGCATTAGCGCCCACATTAAGAGGCCATATTGATACTGGCCGAGGCACACCACCCGTATCGTGTCAGCTGGGGGGTGATGTTAACCTTGTGGCCTCGTCGCCATTGGCGAGCAGCAACCAAGCTCAACATTTCTGGGCTTATTTTGAGGCACGCAAACAGAAAATGATATGGAGACCCTTTCACTGTACCCTCCCATACTGTAAATCCTTTGGCTGCCATCAACAAGCAAAAAAGCCGTGGGAGTTTTAATACAAGCTTACATCTTGGTACAGCAACTGCTAATGTAAATGGCTTTGTATCTACAATAAATATATATACACACACACCCCTGACTTGACTTGTCTAAACAATCAAAAGGTAGAAGCAAGTTTAGTTACCATCTCTGTTTCAGCTGGGTTGAAGGGTTTTTCTCTTAAGGCTGCGTCTTCTCCCCTTGCAAATGCTGTCTAAATTAAGCCCTTACTGTTCTTATAATCCGCTCGCAGTAATGGCAACCGGCTTCTTCATGTAGCTCGTTTGCTTTTGAGGAAATAAAAGTTCAGGAAAAACAAGTATTTCTCTCCAGAGCAAGTAATTTATGGTTACCTTTACGTGTACCACACGGGTCTTGCCCAACCCTGCACTAGAGCAACGGAGGTGTTAGACATACACGTAAGACTGTGTAGACAAAAGGAGTTTCCATTTAATGTGCATGGATTTTCCTCCAGCATTTGCAGAGAAATTACCCTGAACTGTGTTTAAAGCAAGGTAGATTTTTTTTCCCCCACAAGCACAAAAGATACCCGAATATGTTCATTTGAGCTCTTTAATGTATATACAAATGTTTTAGACCAGTCACAATTTCATTGAGTATATACTGTATTTACAAAAATTACAATAATTTAGTCAAACAGTAAACCTGAACATTGATAACCTCTGTCACTACCAGATATGACAAGAAAATTTTTTTTAGTTAATTATTTTGATATACATACGTCCTAATACTTTCATGCATCCATAAAAACATTAGGGATGGAAGTAATCAAAGGTTAAGTAGGGTGGTTTCTTCTGGTAGATAAAGTTTAATGATGGATTTGTATTTTGTGAAGATATGAGTATCCAGAGTTATGTGCCATGACGGAGTTGATACAAAGCTAATGTAGTTTTCATTATTAAAAAAGTACATTATAGTAATGAGATCCTTTTTATTATATAGGCATAGGTCACAATATCTACAAATGTGAATGAGAAACAATAAACCAACAAATCACAGGAACATGATTCACATTCCAGTTATCTCTTTAAATAAGACAAGCACATACTGGATCAAAACATTAATAAATAACATCCAGTTTGTTACTATTATCTCAAGGTCTTTTATATAAAAGGAGACCTATGTGTTGGTTTCACATTTTGAAGTAATAGTAGTAAATAATGGACCAATACAACAAAAGGATGACTTTTATACAGAAAGCAATGTACTTTGACACACCGTCTTTGCAGTAGAAGTTTTGCCACTTGAAAATGTAAGTGCAGCAACAAGTGGATTGTCTTTAAAAACCACCAGCTCTAAAGACTCACATCAGATAACAACCTGTTCCTTAAGCAGTAAATACAAATGATTCTCTGCCCATCTTCTGAATCTACCTGCCCTTTCAAAGCTCAAATACAGATACAACATGTTGGTAAATAAATGGCTAGTTTTAGTTATTCTACAAAGGAGAATGCCAGAATTTGGGGTGAAGAGCATAATTTGCTTTTTAACTAAAGATGCTTCAGCTTTAGCATCAAAGATACTTCCTTGTGTTATTATTGCTTTGGTCCAATATAAGCTTTTAAGATAATCAATTTGCACTGTAATTACCTCAAAAATCAGACCTGGTCCACAGATGACTACATGACAGCTTGTACACCATGGTCTGAAAAGTGAAGTTGCACAGGTTGCATTCTGCCAAGAGCCTTTGCCAAGTGCTCTGGAGCTGATAAAGGCATAGAGGTGATACAAGTGGGCTGGAAAAAATCTTCTGAATCCTCAGGAGGGGAACTGTTACCTACAGACTGGGAAGTTTCTAAAACTTTGCAGCAGAGTTTTAGTTTGTTGATACTTCTTTTGTTTGATGGTTTCAAGCTGTTGATGGGAACTTGATGGGAAATGCAGTACATGCTCATTCTTCACTTTTACAAATGTGGATTCACCCTTCCCCCCAGTTCCCTATTCCCCCAGAACTGCTGTTTAACAAACCAACAAGGTGCTGTTTAACATCAATTACTTGTTGTTTGCTTTAAAAGACACTTGCTCCATAATGCTGAGGAATTTCTTCCGCACATTTCACTGCTGGACTGTGAGGTGAAGTACGGTATTAATGCGTAAAGCAGCAGTGAGCTGCCACATTGATCTAACCCAGGATTCAGCTTTGTCTGTGTTCAGGCATATTATACTATATGAGCAATTAAGCAGCAAATGGTGACTGTTAGAAATGTGCCTAAACCATGTCCGAGCACTTAAATTTGATAAAGTTCAATCCAAACCTAGGAAGAAAGTACGTCAAAGTTTGGGCTTCACCACCAGTTACTGAACTCAACTGAAGTGTTGCCATATCACAAAAAAAGTAGGAAATTCACCAGCTACACTGTGTCGGAGACTGAACAATACCACCTTTTCCCAGAATGTTTTCTCTCTCGCCCCACTTGAATCCAAAGAAAAATATGAAAGTTGCAAGAAACTGTAACCCCGTGGCTCTCATATGGCAAGCCAAGTGGCTAGAGTTCCTCCGAGCTCAGGATTCTTGATACAAGTATAAGGAAACCTTTCTCTTGTTCTTCATGATAAGTATTAGGCTCTTAGTTTTCTGAAACTTCTGAATTTCCAGCCAGAGTTTGGTTGATCTGTGACATTTGTGACAAGAGACTATATAAGCACTAGCACAGGTCTGTAGTGGAGACTGAGAAAGTACCTAATACAAGGGTTTTTGTCCTTGGTTTTCAAATTCTGACCAGGCATCATTTAGCTCCATAAATATCATCTTTGCATATTGTTCATATGGCTGCCCAGTAGCCTGGAATAAAAACAGAAAGAGTGATATCAAATCTATTGAATCAGACTACAAAAAGTTGACATTCGAGCAGCTAAATTCTCAAGCAGTTATCGTTCACTTTCCATGAATGGTTTTCACTTTTTCTTTGACAAGAATAAGCTACCGTTGAGGGCTGCTTACCTTGTTTACAGCTTAAGAGTTTCTTGGCTCTTCAGCTCTTCAGAGCTGATAACCCCCTCAAGTGTGATAAAGCACTACAGTCCCAAGGGCAAAAAATTTTAATCTAGGCTTTGCAAAAGGCATTTTACCTGCACTGAAGGGAAAGACCTGCCACCTGACTCAGTTCCTTGATAAAAGCAGTATTCCTGCAAGCCTCTGGGCAGCCCACAGTGTCTCAAGTCTTGCTCACTGCCCTGAAACTCTCAGGGCCTCCATTTCCTTGAAAGTGGAAGCCTCACCATTTCCCAGATGGTGTCACTGCACTCTGGTTGGCAAGCGTAAGCAGCAGGACCACAAGCTACAAGTTGGAGAATCAGATAACCTGGTTCTTCTATTTTAGAAGTTTGATTTCATATGTTTCATAAGTTCATATGCCTTTATTGCTCCCTCATCTCTTTTAGCAGGCGCAATATTCTGGACTGTGTTCACCACCAGTATGGCTTAGAGTCAAAGTGAGGGTGACAAAAGCTGAAGGTCTGAATCTCTATTGCTTGGAGCAGTGTGTACCAAGCACAGCCTTGGGGCTGGGAGTGGTCAGAGTTCCCACCTTTCAAAAACTGGCAAAAATCTTGAACTACTACTGTCTACAAAGCTGTTGGCACTAATAAATTAAGCAACCACATTCAACACTTTATAATTAAGAGAACAATCACAATTCCTGAGCAATGTGAAACTAGGAAAACCTTACCTTGTCAGGATGAACAACAAGGACTGCCCGCCGGTAGACCTTCTTCACTTGCTCTGGCGTGACAAGATCTGCCATACTAACAGGTTTCCACTTGGTCTCCCCTGCCCATAAGACAGTATGCATTGTGGACAGCAGCGCTCTTATATTTCTCTCCTTCCCTTCAATCCATTCAAGGACCTGGAGAGAAGAATGCAGGTCTCAATTTATGCCTTACATTAGATATCACAGTAGGAAAAAGTTTCTTCATTTGAATAGCAATGACTTCAAGGAGAATCTTACATTTCTTTCCAAGCTTTAGAAAACCTTTGGAAGATATTTGTCAGTCTTTGTCATTAATTTTTGTATCACTCCTTGAAAGTTAAGACACACCTTGAGCAACACTCCTGCTAAAAATACTGTGTTGGTAACACTTACGAACAGTCATTAGATGGAATAGTCAAAAGATAAATTAAATGTTTAACTGTGTGGCTCTTTAGCAAGCTTAATTGCACACCTAAAGTGAACTTGACTAGAACTCTCCTGTGGATGTGTATCTTTTGTGCAAGTCTAGAGTTGAGTCTTCTAAAGACTCATGTAGGGGGGTTGGACTAGATGATCTCTAAAGGTACCTTCCAATCCAAATCATCCTATGTTGAAGGTTGGCTTCAATACAAATCTGTTTAAGGTCTAAGTCAGAAGCCTCATTCTCCCCGCGTGCCTGTTTGCTACTTCCAATCCAGGAGTCAAATACAGCAATAGGTAGTCCACTTTTCTAGATGAGGTAGCACTCCCTAGTGGTTGCCATCTTAGCCTACCTTAAGAAGGTTCCCCCTTCCTTAGGCTGGCGAAGGGGAGGAGGAAAGGGAAGTAAACATTAAAAACAAAGCGTAAATAGATTGAACAGTTCCAGGCTGAACTGAAGTGACTCAATGAAATAAAATGCATCAGAGCAAAGGGAAGCGTTTTGGGAAGGGAGAATCAGCTGGGTGCGTCAGTGATTCGGCAGCCTGCTGGGGGGAAAATGTTGCACACATTAAGTAGTACCACATGAATTGCTGAAGTTGTACAGCTTATGAATTGGGAAAACTACCGCCCACTTGATAGCCTGACAGCTGTCCATCTTGGTTACAAGTGGCTGATGCTCCCGTTAACCTAAGGAAAGTGCCAACAACCATGGTGAAAACCTTTCTACAAGACTAAAAAAACCATTTTTTTCTAAATTAACTCATTACGTTTTCTAGAAGTTTGCTTGGCTTTTGCTTGGGCTTTTCCTCTCAGTTCTGTATCCTTCTGTAATTATAATTCGTGGTTTCATATTTCAAATGTAGACCAGGACAGACTGAATTTCCTTCTCTTCATAATAGATCTGCAGTTTGCCAATTTATTGAGGAGAGATGAGAGAATTGCAAAACAGGCAAGATTAATGAGACAGAGGATTAGTTCAATTAGTTGTGCCTGCTAATCAGGGCTGGAATGATGTCAGCAGCCCTGACAGTAACACTGAGCAAGCCACTGTTTGCCACAGTCTGGTTTAGGACAGAAATGTAAACTTGGAGTTTTAAATCTATTCCAAAGGATGTTTGCATCTCCAGGGAAGGCACGAGAATTTGCTATATGAACAAATAGCAGGAAGTTCTCACTTTCTGCACCAAGGCAATCTCATCATGGGGAGAGCATCCCTCATTCCACCAAAACCTGAGATTGGCAAAAGGACTGGCAGAGATGGTCACTGGTCTTTTATCTGGTTTATTTGTAAGAAGCTCTTTCAGAACAGAGTTTTTACAAGCTTACTACTAAGTACTGTCTCATCAGAATGAGAGATAGTGAAGATTCTTCCAGATATTCCCCAACACCTTCAGATTATGACTGCCTTTCTGGTCACACTAGCTCATTGCTGTCTGGCATGCAGATGGGAAGCACAGCAGTTTATGATGCTACCAAATTTAGACACCTTCTTTATGGGAGCCAAGCACGAGAGATAGCACGTGGTCCTTGGGATCCAGCAACGCTGTGGAGGCTGGACGCTAAAGGAAGTGCTAAAGCGGGAGGATAGCTTCTGGCGCTAAATGATCTGAAAGATTTGCTCAGCTGCCTCGCATGCAGGACGGCTGGTGGCTTATTGCCCCCTCCACCTTTCAGATGCTGGGGGCTGCTTGAAACGCTGCCTGAGGAGAACAAAAGACGTGTTGAATGACTGTAAGACCATAAACAAGAATATTGCTTACTTTCAGTTTTTCAGGGTCCATCTCCTTAGCCATTTCTTCTTTTCTCATCTCAGCTATTGTTTTGGGGCCCTTCTTGTCCTTGTGAGCATTAAAACCTTGACCGGATAATAGATCCTCGAAATCTGCAGACACTTTTGGTTTTGAATCTTGGAAAACAAAAAGATTTGAAGTTGTTATCACAATACAGGTTGATTTAACACTGCTTTTCTACCCAAGCCACCCCCCACGCTTATCACTGTAACAATCTCCCAGTGCTAATGAGTGTGCAGGTTCTCACAAAAGAGGTATAGGTTAATGTTACTTTTGAATTATTATTCTTGAAGCCAATTTGGTATACAGGATTTCCTAAATATCAGCACACTCTAGAGTCTAGGACAGGACAACTAGTGTTGAACTTTATATATCATCAAATGATCAGCATGACTTCCTTGCTTAGAAGGCGTTTGAGCATTAAACAATATTAGAAGGAGCCAGCTTTTTGGATGCTGAACTCTGAAAAGCTTACCAACGTTAGCTGGTCCTTTTCCACGTTCGTTCTGTGCTCCCGGCATTGCTGAGAAACTCACGTTGTAATTGGGCTTGTTCTGGGGAGAGGCATGAGGCATGCTTGGCTGGGCTTTGGGTTGTGCCTGCTGCCAGCCATAGCCAGCTCCTTGCTGCCAACCGCTGCCGCCCATGGGCTGGGGAGAGGGTTTCTGCGGCGAGGGGGGGAATCCTCCACCCATGCCTGTCGGCGTGGTCGGTTTACTGGCAAACGAAGGGCCACCTGCAGAACAAGGGGAAAGGAGTGATGGAGAGCCAACAGAATACTGACTTGCCTTCCAAAAAGGGAACCTAAACAAAACCTCCCAGGCAGCTGGCTTCTATTTTCAGCTCTGCCACTTATTTTTGCAACATCAAGCAAAGCCCTTCCGTTTTCCTGTCGCTGCTCTGTAAGCCACTTGAAAGACAGCACCTGCCTTTGAAGGCTGCACAGGAACTGGAATAGGGGCTCCTTGGGGAAACGCAGGGAAAGCTACGCGCAGCTAACTGGGAACCACAGCTGCTGTGTGTTATGGTGGCAATGCCAAATTGATGTATGTTGAAATAGTATCTCCTTATGCTGTGCTGATGTAATACTATCCCACAGAGTTGTGTGTTCCAGCACCTTATTACTTTAGGGGATGCTCCTCTGGCTTAGTTTGTGGTGGGAGGTTCATGGTGTTAATGTTTTATTATTTGAGACTAACACCCACACTCAACTTTGAGCTCTGAAACGTGTCATGGAAACTGGATCAAGTGCTTTTGACTTAGTAATGAACAACAGAAGTGTGGTTACATATCCTGTGGATACCAAGTCATTTGTTTTTAAACTCCAGAACTTTGCTACAGAATACATGTTTTAAAAGCACCTCGATGGCTCTGACATGGGCCTTGGCATACTTTTTATTTTGCTCCTGCAGAGCAGCTTGTGATCCAGCAGAGGGAACTGGGAAACCTAATTCCAGAACCATGCTGGTACTGACGCAAAGGAGAAAACAAACATCAGATAAAACCACAATGGCTTGCAAGGAGCTGAGGGCCATGACAAAGGGAAGAAAAATCTATTTACCAGAATCAGAGAAGCCAACATGCTGGGTTTTAAGGAAAACTTAAATAATTTGTCAGAACTGCCTTTTTAACACTGGGGTAGAGGGTTTGCTGATTGTTTTCTGAGGTAAAACAAGGAGAAAATACTTGTCTAAGCAGTCAATAAACAGTCCTTTGTAGCCAGGTGCAAATGAAAATGGGTTCAGATTTTTAGATAATTTTTAGATAATACTGCAAATTAGAGGCAGACTAGTGAGGTTCCACAGTTTTCCTCACAAAGGGAAAAAATGAGCGAAGTCTAGAAGGAAACCATTCCACAAGGACCCCAGTGGCTTTGAAGAGCCAAAGTCTCCTCCCAGGCACTGCTCCCAGGTCTGCAGCAACAGTTCTGCAGCCTGAGTTACACGCAGAGCATCCTTAGCCAGAGACTAAGGGTGTTTAGACTTAGGAGATAGAGGTTACGCTTTGAAATCCATATAGCCTATCGAGGTCCTAGCATTTTTTTGCTCAAGTATCAGTAAAAGCAGAGATTTGTGAGAGCTTACAGAGAATCAGGCGGAAGGGAAAGCTTGAAAGCAGCACCGGCATGCAGGTAGGCTGAGAGGACCCATAGAGCTCTTTGTCACATACCAGGCTGTTCATCCTCTTTCTCTAAAACAGAGCTGGTAATTTTTTTTTTTTAATAAAGGATGCAAACCTGCTAAACTTGCTCCAAGAGTCCCCAGATCAGCAAATGGATCCAGTGTCTGGGGTTTAGGCTGATGAGTGGGAGTGCTATGGAGGGATCCTGTAGGACTGGTGGCAGCTGACTTACTTCCCACACCTAGGCCACCTTAAAGGGAAGGGAAAAAAAAGAAGAAAAAAGAAAGATAAAAGAAAAAAATAACTCAGTTTTTATCCCTATTTTACATGAGTGCAGCTTTTACCCAGTGCTTAGCCACATGATGTTAGAAGACTGCCGTTACAATTAAGTGTACTATTGTCAGGTTCCTAAGCAGTCTCAGCTCAGCATTGGCCCAGACTAGTTGCACACCCACTCACAATTAGGCTCAGCAACAAAAATGTTCCCTAGACTGTCTGCGGTGACAGAGTAATTATGAAAATGGATGTATTTTAAGAACTAGAAGCCTTCAGGAAGCAACTTCTGGTAGGACATACATACTGTCCCAAGATTAGAAAGAATCATGCTGCTGTTTAGTGGCATCTCAGGAACGCATAGCACTTCCCAGGTCCTTCTCTTGGCTCTACACTGGAATGAAACACAACTATATACATCCTCACAGAGAATCTGTCCCACTGCAGGACCTGCTTTCTCGAGGAACGAAACCCAGATTTTTTAACAGAAAGATTTGGCAGTCTCTAGCCAGATCCTCACTTGGATGACTGGGAAACCAGGACAACAAGCACCATAGCTGCTGCCATTGAGATGAGAATAATTAAAATCCTGATTTAAGTTTTGTTGTATTAGTCAAAGTGCTAAGCAGCAGAAAGAGCAGAAATGACTTCTCTACAGTCATTGGTAGCATCTTCCATCTGCTTCTCCTCTCTCAGGACTGCTTAAGGGTTTTTTATTAAGTGTCATGAATTTTTATGATACGTACCTGGTTTGTTGGGCCAGTCCCAACCACCGGAAACATCTGGTTGTATGGAAACTGTTGGTGTGCTAGAAGCTAAGCAGAATGATTACATATAAATATCTCAAACTAGTAGAGCAAAACCAACATAATCCAGAGTCTAGGAAGAGTATGGGGCAAGCAGCAGGAGAGAGAGAGTATTGTGTCAACCTACCTTTTGCTAATTAGAAATTAACTTCTCCCTCATGATGGGCATTACAAATTTAACGTTGATTTCTGATCTTATACTATACAGAGGTAAGTGGGGAAGGACGCAGATTTACAGTGTTCATTTTATGGTGGCTTTGGTCAGAGGCTTTATATACTTATTTATAAAAGCCTTACCACCAGAATAACACACTGGGTTTTGTATTTCTGAATACAGCTCAACCCAAGGAAATATTCTACATGCAAAAGGCAAAGACGGCGAAAACAAATGCAGTAAAACAGCCCACACAGATGTAAAGCAGAAAGAACACACACAGTCCTTCCTTTAACCCTGTATCAAATAAAGCTTGTGCATCTATGCAGTTCACCCTGCCAGCAGTTCATTATCCGTAGACACTAGCGCTGCAATATAATACCTCATCATGCTGTGATACTATTTAAATTCCTCTCATTAGTGCAGCCAGCTCCAAGCGTGACCCAACCGTCTTAGTCACAGAGTTAATATCCAATACCCGAGTTTGGCAAAGCAAGGGTGCGAGCAGTGCCAGCAGCACACTAGTTCCCTCCTTTGTCATTTGGGCTTTCCAGCGAGACTGTTGCACGCAAGGGACGTGTGTTAGATGATCAGACGCATATGAATTCGTATCTGAATGTGTTTCAGAGAAGGTTACAACATTAAATTTTGGCACAGGGGGAGAATGCAATGTCCCTTAGTTGTCCCAAACGAAGTAAAAGAAGAAAAAAGTCCGATAAAGAATAAAAAATTCCTTCTCTTCAAATACAAGTCAAATTCAACTGTGAATTTGGCCAGGATTACTATCAGATCTAAAGAAGCAGATGCCTGTGACTAAAATCACCAAAGGACATGTATTTTTTCTAGCAGGCTTAATACGCCATGCTCTATTTAGCTCAATTAATGGTAGTTTGGTTCAAACGAGACCTCATAACCACAGGAATATGCAGGCAGACATTCTTCATGGTGTCTTTTTTCATGTATATAAATAGCTTACTAATTAAGTATAAGACTTGAGCAAAACAAGTCTCATCCTACCACACTTCAAATTATGAATATGCTTTAAGTCTAGAGACAAAAAGCTCTTTCCTGTTTAGTGGGGTTTCTGTGGTTTAGAGTCATTTTACGGTAAGCATCAGCCTGTACTTAACAGCTCCATCGTTATTTAAAAGCAGCATTTCACGTTTACTTAAATACACTAGAAGAGCCTCACTTTCTTACCCATGTGAAAAGGATCGCTGTGCACAGTTGGTGAAGGACTTCTTGTTGCTTGAAGGAAAGGATCACCAGGGACAGCTGATGAACCAAGAAAGGAACCCAGGAGGTCTGGACCAGTTTGCTTAGGGCTACTTCCAAACGGATCAAAGGCAGTTGCTGTAAAAACATGTTTGAGAAAACTAAATCATTAACTTGTGCAATGAATGTGCTTCAGGGAAAAGACGCGGTGTGTGGAGAAGGAAACCTAATACCTGCAGATACCAGACAGGAGACAGCATGCAACTGTGGGAGAGCAACCAGCAAGGACCAGTACCCTAGCCAAATGCTAGGGCACATAAGAGCCACATGACTTGGCCATGGCAACACAGTTGTTGATCCCGTCTTGTCTTTTCCAAAGAGAGGGGCTGAATTTAGGAGCAGTCGAAGCGGGTATTTGGATACTTAGACACTTCAGATGAAGTTTCAACTTGCACATACTGCCAACACATAAATGGATGGTGAGGGACAGCCTGGAGCTTGGTGTTAGCACCCTGGCACAAGTCCTGCTTCTGCTCAAGAGCTGAACGGAGTCCAAGACGATTTTAAGCTGTCAAAGGTTGTACATGTCGAGTATAACTGAGGGTAAAAGGACTGTCTTTTAGAAATAGCTTTAGAAAATAACTGGTATCTTTCCCACATAGCATCACTTGTTACAAAAATCCAGTTCATTCTCAAACTCCGTTTCTGATCAATTTGTTTAGCCTACTGTCAAGTAGGCAATGTTTAGCGTACTTTTTCATGTAAAAATCCCTCAAACCCAACTGTATTGGGTTTGCTTGGCAAGGGTTTGGTA